TTATGTCGTTTATTCCATTGAATAAATAAAAATGACCACAATCGCACTCAACATTCTCGCTTCCTGTAGATATATATAGTTATATATATGTAGAAATATATAGTAATATTTGCTTGTAATAACAAAGACATCATGAATTGTTATTTTCGGCAAATTCTTTTTCAATTATGCGTAGTCTTTTGATTACGTTTAGATTATAAATTTCACCTTACGTGTTTGGTATTCAGGATTTAGAATATACTTTACTTGTATTCCAATAACGAATGTATATTTGTTATATAAAGTGGTATAGTCAAAATCTCCCACTTTGCTGCAACGCCAGTTGTGTTGTACCACGTAGAGTCTTAAAATCTTATTCCTAGAGGAAACACTGATATAACTTCACAGAGTTCTGCAATTTTAAACACCTGTCGTATGAGAAATTCTTGTAGATGTAAGTATGAATATGAAAAAGTTTTTACTAATTTATTTTTTGTCCGTAAACTCGAAGATTTGTATACCAACTACCGCTATAGTTAAAAAATAAAAAAGATCAACAGTGTTCAACATAGTAAAATCCAGAATGTTTTTTATTTATTAGAAAAAAATTGGCGAACAGATTATATTGAAAATAACAGTCGTTTGGCGACAGTAATAATTAATTATCGTAAAATCTGGTTGTCAAAAACCTTTAATGAATTAAGACGGTTTATTTGCGTTTTCTCAGAAAGGCCTACGCTAAATGACAAGAAAGGTGAGCGTTGACTCAGGTACGCCCATACCGCTTGCTTTGTAAACTAATTCCAATTTCTTACACATTTTATGAAATGTTACTCGGTACCTGAATTCTACAAATTTGTAATAATTAGATTTTTAGCGATTGCGACTTGTAGCAATTTCTTTCGTTTTCTTTTTGTTTATGTTTTCTGAAGTCGCAAGGACCCCAAAGATGAAGCTTTATGTTTGTTAACTATGAAAGTTTTTTTTGTTGTTCACTTATCGTAACATGTACTTGGAGAAATGTTAACGTAATTATAAAGAAGTATGGGTTTTATTATGTTACTAGCTGTTCCCGTGCGAATTCATCCGCATGAAACTAAAAAAACTTTATTTTATTGTTTCCAATTGTTAAATTCTCTATTGCAAATGTCAAAATTCAAATGCACAAGTGACAACCATGGCAACATTGCCTTTTTGATGTTGGCAGCTTGTAGTTCATGGTCACTTTTTCATATTAATGTTTTTACTTACCCCCTATGTTTAATAGCGTGAAAATATATAGCGTATCGTAAGGGTAAAGTTTTTATTTATTAAATAAAAAATATAATGTTCAAAAATATGTTGTGATTTCTGACATCCTACGCCACAAAGAAGTGTGTATTTAAGCTTTATTATATTAGTATAGATTGAATACTGTATAAAATATGATAAAAAGACCAAGTCATGTGCATTGCTTTAAAATCTTTTTCCATTCAAAAAATTAAGATAGCGTTATTCTCTTTTATTTTTTTTGAGCCGGTAATGTGCGCAGTTACTTATGATAAGTAATCCTTTAAGTTCCAGCGGCAAGCCAATAGATTCCTGGTGCTTGGCCGTGTGAGATAGGCGTAAAGTTGGGTCTGACAACAGCTTAATGCCGCAGTTATTAATTGCCGTCCCTTGTCTTTAATTACAATTATATCAGAGAAACATTTTCCTTAATTAGGAGGAAATAAGGGCATTACTGACATTTACAAATGTCATATAGATGTAAACTTGCCTTATTAAGGTTATACTGGGATGTAAAAATTGCTAGGAAACTTCACACTTTCTTTACATTTTCTCATAAACATAAGATTATAGTCGTGCAGCTTGCAGGTTCGGCTCTGTCTATAGAATACCACGACTTCATAGTAAAAAAAAATGCAATCGTCTTTTAAGTTACGTTCTGGAACCACAATTCCAATTCTGAACACTTTCTTATCCTTCTTCTAGTTTTCTTTTCTTATTGACCTACACGCATGTAAAATTAAAGGTTACGAAATTATTAATCCATTGATGTCTTGGCTTGTTTGTTATATTATCTAAAATATCCTTTAATCTTTAAAACCTTAACCGTTTTGATCGATTACATTGATGTGCATTCCAGACGGAATAACGACAAACCTAGTGATGCGTTAAATTATAGCGAGTCGTTACGACTCATTTACTTGTTTATTACTAATCACGCGAAGTGTTCGTTTCACTAGTCCTTGGACACCAAATGACTAATTATGAGTAAGATATGAGGCAGACAACCGGAACTAGCTCATATTCAACAAATTGGACCGCTCGTTGGTTAATTGCCGCTGATGTTAGCCAGTTAAGCGCTTGAGAAACGTAAATATAGACTGTGAAGAAAATTCAGGGTATTTTCATAATTTTAAAGTGGCTTAAAAAGGCAGTAAAACCGCGCTGAAACAAACGAGTGTCATTAAGCACTTCGCTTACTTCTGATTCTCGTTTTATTTGCACGAACATTTTGTGGGAATTAAAAATAAACTTTATATAACCTTCATGTGTATTTACTAATACATATAATACGAGTATACGAGTATTGTTTTGGAATAGTCGGATTTATTTAATTTAGACCTTTTATATAAAATTACCTAAATATTAAGAAGTAAGTTAGTACAAAGTAAGACTTGTTGTCTGCAATGCTGGGTTTTCTGTTTAGAAATCAGAGTAATTGATAGCTTCGACTGATTTATCGTTACCGATAATTTATTTTTAATAACTGGAAGCAGTATTAATTCATTTCCGAACAATAACCATTGTCGGGATATAAATTTCCGCTTGTTAAACTAACATTAAGTTTCTCCATTTGTTTTCATTACGTGCAATTCGTGATTTCCTCTTAAATCAACTGCGAAAGTACCGGCAACCGGCAGCCGGCAACCGGCACGGCGTGCAGATTGTTGACCCGTTTCTGCATACGCTGTGTGGATGTTAAACTCACTAAAAGCAAACCTTCAATTGTTCTACAGACCATCTTACTAATTTGATACATAAAATAACATTCCATTTACTTCTATCTTACAACTCATTTACTCTCTTTGTTCAGGTGATTTAAACTACTTACGAAGGTTTCATCATCTCAATAAGACTACATACTTATATGCAATGGTGTTTTTTTGCTCTGTTTTTTTGAGATAAAAAATTGTTATTACAATATTTATCGTGAAGACATATTGCTTATTATTAATTTATGTTTATATTCTGGTGATATTGGAGATAGCTTTTGAAAAATGGTTGTTTGGTATCTATAGAAAGTAAAGCGGATACTTTGCTATGGCTGCAGTATGACGTACGTAAGCCTTACGCAAGAATTGCTATTCTTAAAATGGTGATTCATTGCGAGTCTATGTAAGTATGGAATAAATTTTTCGTGAATTCATAATTTTTATAAATCGAATTCAAAGGGATTTACTGATGTAAAATGAATGATTTGAATTAAAAATAAAAACAAGTGAAAGTATGTTTATATGATGAATGAAATAATTAATTTTAATATTTCATTACTATTAAACAAGACTGGAAAACTGTAGAATTAAAATTGGTAATACCATTAAAACTGTTATTGCAATATGTGGCAATTCAAAACATTCTAGATATGTTTGCTTGTATTAAACGTTCGAATTCTTTTTGATCTCAATGTAAATATTTAGGAATAATCTACGAATCGATATTGCTTATTTAACGAGGCCGGGATGTGAAACAAATAAAGCAAAACGTAATATTTATTTTCGCCCTAAATTAATAATCGTAGCTTCAAAGCTTGTTTATGTATGACCAATTGGTTTGCGTGTGCGATCGAAGATGTGGGGTAATAGAAAAAGTTTGTTTTTTGTTTGGATGTGTTGTGGAATACTTATGAGTGCAGCATGTGGACGTCAGCCGCCGTTGGCCACGCGTGCTGCCCGAGGTGGCCAGGTGTGGTTGCAGCTGACACCCCCCATCTTGTTTGGACGTGTCGCCGCGTGCCAACTTTTACACATACAGTTTCATCTGCCGTTTGTCAGTCGTAATATTATTACCAAGTTTTTCACTTAACTGTTTAAATTTTAACTTAAAATTGTCTGCTATTTATCGACTGTAAGTTACGAAATAATAAAAAATTTTGAATTGATACATTGAAACGTAGGTACATTTTTGAAATGAGGACGTGAATTTAGAATATCTGTCCGTTTAGGGATAAAAACAACAATAATGCAAAGTCTTGTCGGCAAATTGTATAAAGCAAAACTCGACCACAGTGCAATTATAAAAGAAATCGTAAGTTCTGTTAAACGTGACATTTTTGCTCAGTACAGAATAAGAATTCTATACAATTATGAATGAAAGAAGCTAAGCTTTTGTGTGACACATCCTGTGTCATTGTTG